ATTTTGTCTGTGTACTAGATAGAGCAATAAGCTTGGCATGTTATTTGTCAAGGTCATCGAGCTTAACAATAATGCAGGTGGGCCCACCTCGATCCCGTGACTCCAGGGGGCGCTACAGTAAAAACAAAGTTGAAATTTTTGTATAGTCGAAATTGAGTTATGGTGCTTAAAGTGTGCCAATAGGTGTCTACTAATGCCTCAAGAAGTTAGAAGAATATAGTTCTACATTTGGCCGAACGCTGGCTAATTTTCGGTTTTCCGAAAATTCTATTTGTACAAATGTGCCGTTTCCGGGTCACAGAGTGGTCGAATCTTGATGCGGTTTTTTCTAACCCTAGTCCCGATAAATGGAGGTCATAATGCACTTTACACCATAATTTTAGCATTTGGCGTTCAGGAGATATGAATTTATTTCATTTTTCGGCTTTCGGTCAATTATCTCGAAAGTTACATCATAGGATTTTTTCTTACTATTCCCTTCCTATCCTACTTTTTGGTCATACAAACGAATCCGTCAAAAAAGTTGAAGTATATAAGAATCCGGGTGAGGGTCGGAATGATTTCTAAGATACATATGTGTGTGCATATGCACACACATTTGGTGGCTTCGCCCCCAAACCGCCTGGAATTACTGTGAATTACTTGGAACAAGTACTGCGTCCATCCGGCGGTTTGCGCGCGTTCGCGCACCACACGGGCAGATGCGGCCAGTGCCGTGGTGCACTTGAGATTGGATCGTTAGCCGGCATAATATTTTGCCGTTGTCTCTCTCCCACCAACTAAATCACTTATTGTGCTTAAACGTTAATAGATAGGTATAGGCAAGTGGGGGTATTTTTGGTCAGACATTATGTCAGCCTTCGATCGAACCCGATGCCGTTCCATTTCCTCATTCATAGGTGGCGCTAGAGTCGCAAACACATGTATACCCGTTTTCCCGGAAATCGGGACAGACCGGGGTCGGGACTTCGGGAATTTTATTGGACCTTCAACTTGTACCAGGATACCAAATATCAACTTTCTAAGCATTTCCAGACGCCCGCAATCGTTGCCGTATTGTCAAATATTAACAAATATTAAATGGCTTATTAAATATTTATTGGGTACTCTAAAATTTAGTTATGGTGCCTAAAGTGTGCCTATAGGTGTCTAGTTATGCTTCAAGAAGTTAGAATAATATAGCTCTCCAATTGGCCAAACGCCAGCCAATTTCCGGTTTTCCGAAAATTTTCTCGGAACAAATGTGCCATTTTCGGGTCAACGGATGACCAAATTTTGATGCGGTTTTTTCCACCGCTAGTCCCGATGAATGGAGGTCATAATGCACGTTAGACCATAATTTTAGCATTTGGCGTTCAGGATATATGAATTTATTTCGAATTTCGGCTTTCGGTCAATTATCTCGAAAGTTACATCATAGGATTTTTTCTTACTATTCCCTTCCTATTCTACTTTTCGGTCATACAAACGAATCCGGTGTCAAAACATCAAGAGGTCAAAATGCCGCTCGACCCCAAAACGATTTGTAGACTAGATTGTATGGTACACGAACGCGTACCAAACCGCCGGGAAAGATTGTATGGTACACGAACGCGTACCAAACCGCCGGGAAAGATTGTATGGTACACGAACGCGTACCAAACCGCCGGGAATTACTTGGAAAGATTGTATGGTACACGAACGCGTACCAAACCGCCGGGAATTACTTGGAATTACTTGGAATTAATTATAAATATCTAAATGCTAATTCAATAATATGTTATCAACTTTGATTAGCCCAACCCTTTCCAAATACACTTAACCGCAAATGTTATCAAATAATTGGGGAAAACCTGAGTTTAATTTAATAACTAATAAATTAAAATACAAATTACTATTTGTATGCAATATAAAAGACAAAAATTATAAAATCACTGTTAATTATAGCTTGAAAATAATACTAACACTTGTTTGCTTGGGTTAATACACAGGATAGTTATAAGATGGGCACTTTCCCCCATCCTATCTCGATCTGGTCTTCAAAAACTATATAATTTATTATAAATATTAATTCAATTATTAAATAATACTTCAATTTACTATAATTGAGGCCACAATTGCTTTACAAAACAATAAGACAATTGTTTTTATAAGAGTTAAAAAACATATAATTAAATAATATTGTGTTTAACTATAAAGTTAAAAACTTTTACTGTTATTTCAATGAGCGTTTACGGAGAGGTCGACGGCTGTGAACCGTACGTCCGTATCGTTGAACAGCCGGCGCGAAGTGCAGTGCGATTCCGGTACGAGTGTGAGGGCCGGTCTGCGGGACCGATACCGGGGGTGTCGTCGACGCCGTCGTGCGCCACATACCCGACCATTCAGATCGTGGGCTACGGCGGCTCTCGGGCTATGGTTGTGGTGTCGTGTGTGACAGTGTCTCAGCCCTATCGACAACATCCGCACCATTTGGTGGGTCGGGTGGGCTGTCATCAGGGCGTGTGTACAATGATTGTGGACAACAGCGACCACTTGTGTTCGTTCACTCATTTAGGCATTCAATGCGCGAAACGCAACGAAATCGCCGCAAGACTTAAACTCAGGAAACAATTGAGAATCGATCCCACGTTCGGCGGCTTCGACCACATCATGAAGTCGTCGCGATCTCTAGACTTGGGAGCCATTCGTCTGTGCTTTCAGGTCTACGTCGAGGACCCGATCACTCGTAAGTTCACGAAACCACTCGAACCCGTCGTTTCGGACGCCGTTTACGACAAGAAACTGTTGCCGAAACTCATCATAACAGACATATCGACCACCAGTTGCCGAATGACAGGCGGGAAAGTCATGTTGTTCTGCAACTACATCGACGAGGAGGACATTGAGGTGCGTTTCTACGAGACAGACGCCGCCACCGGTTTGGTTGTGTGGGAATCGATCGCCGATCTGAAGCCACCCGTTGGCGAAGTGCACAAACGTGTGGGCATTTCATTGATGGCACCGCCGTATCCGCGACCGGAGTGTCGACACCCGGTGGACGTGTATTTGCAACTCAGACGACCGTCCGATCAGAGGGCGAGCGAAGCCATGATCTTTACGTATTTGCCTGAATGCCAGTTCCCTAACTGTCCGCTATTGCAATACAATCGTCTCCACAACATCATCGCATCTGAATCGGTGTCCACTTCCGCGCTCACCACCACTTATAATACCATCACTACTGCTGTCGCCGATCAGCCGCAACACCAAGTGTTCAGTAGACGGGGTCGGGCGCCAAAGTCCACAGCGAACGACAATAATCAGAGTACTGGCAAAAAGAGGGTCAAAGTGTTGGATGTGTTGAACGGCAGCGACAGCGACGGTATGGAAGAGACAGAGGCCGACGATCACGACGTGGAGGAAAGGGATGTGTTTTATAACCAATTTTACGCCAATAACAATAACGTTCAGTATTTCGGCCAAAATTGTCTCAAACCGGACGTCAATAATAACAGTATAAACGCAAACATCGTTAACAATAACACCACTAATGGTCTGTTGAGTATCAAATGCGAGCCCAATATTGGGAATCAACAGTTGGCCGGCTGTCCGTTTGCGGCCACCCCTGCCGTCGGCAACGCTTCCAACGATCTGTTGATGGAGTGCCTGAAGACTATAGACATTGACTGTTTGGCCGCAATGCAGTTTCAGGCCGATTATCAACACAACACTAACTCTAACCACAATAACCACAGCAATAGCTATACGGCCGATGAGGAGGAAGAGTGGCATTCATTCGATCACACCGTTAGTCAACACTACAACGAAAACTATGCCTACAGTACAGGCAATAATGTTAGCAATAATAATATCGCCGATAATTGCAATACGAATAGCGAATACAACGAATGCTTTAATTACTATCAAACTCAGCCGCCGATCGATAGTCAGGATAAGTTGAGTTTCATTGACTTATAAATTAGATTTGCAAAATTAGTATCCATTTAATTGTTCTCGGAATTGCTAAACAAAGTACATTGTTACAGTGATAACACTTTTTACAAATAAAATGTCTCGCTATAGTGAACCACTTAATACCATGTAATGTATAGTTAATACACTGAAGCCTATTTGGGTGGCAATAAAGCGGCGGTAATGTAAGACTGAAACGCAAACTTATTACAATAATTATATGATTTAGATTTCATTTAATTCAATGATAATGTGCTCAACGATGCTCTGTATATATGTATTGATTGTTTTGAATAAAATTGTTTTTGTGATTTAAATGCGATTATTATTGCGTTAATGTTTTGAATGTTTTATTGATATTTAACACGTTTTACTATTTCGGTAGTGATTAGTAAACTGATTACCGGAATGTTTATTACATGTGATTCACATTTGTGGCCATGATCTTACCTTTACATAAAAAACTTGTAATTCTAATAATTACATCTGTTTAACACATAGCTATTATTATTACCATGTATTTGTCAAATAACTGAATGTTATACTGAATTAATGAAATTGTAACAATTACTTAATTTAGAAGTACATCACAAGTATGCACTGTAGCTGAATGAAGTATAGGATGAATTTAAACTACAAATGCAAATAAACGCAAAAATATTACATTTTATGACAAAAAAGGATTTTTATTTATTTTGTATAAAAGAATTGCATTGAAATAAATATTGTTAAAACTTTGATTTTTTGCAATGGTATAAAGCTATACATAATAAATTATAATGAAAACTTTTGTGCTCTTTTGTGTATTATGTATATTATATTTGAATGTTCATTGAGTTCAGTGACTGAGAGAGAGAGAGAGAGAGAGAGAGAGATTCGGGTATGTGGCGCACGACGGCGTCGACGACACCCCCGGTATCGGTCCCGCAGACCGGCCCTCACACTCGTACCGGAATCGCACTGCACTTCGCGCCGGCTGTTCAACGATACGGACGTACGGTTCGGACATTGAATCCGATTATTAATGCAATTATAAACTTATATTAAACTTGAAAATACTTTTGAAACTTTAAATAACTTTTTTCGAGTGATTTAATTAACGATTAGTTAAGCACTAAAAATTGACAAAAGTTTCAAACACTAAATACTGTTAACTCTTTTAAACAAAAAATACTAATTAATTAATTGCGAATTAATGAAAACTTTTTCCATAGATTTTAATTTTATAACTTTAATAGAGTTTGATTTAAAATTAGGAAAATTCTTAATATTAATTAAAATATATGTATTTCATACTACAGACTATATAATTGATTTTCAACAGCAAAAAATTATTAATTAATGAAAATTTTATTATTAAACGGTTTTCCAAAAATTTTTGGAAGAAAATATAAGCGACAAATTTTTTTAGTCTCAAAAACACACAGTTTTATGAAAAAAATTTCACGTATTGTCCGCTTCCTTAACACACAGACACTAATATTACTGAATAAGACTTTTACTCGTGAAAATTTTTTACAAATTTGTCTTTTTTATATTTGGTAATAAACTTGAAAAAGTTATAATGGTTAAAATTGATACCTTGTTAGTTAGGTGTATTTGTATGCATCTCTCAGCCACTGGGTTTACAGGTCCTCCCCTTTCTCCAACTCGTATACCATTCTCTCCAATTCTCTCTCTCTCTCTCTCTCTCTCTCTCTCT